TTTTTTTTTTTTTTTCGAAAATCAAACGAAAATCCACGAATAGAAAAATAATTATTGGTCATTTAACTTTCCCAAACAAACCAATCCAAAAAAATAATAATAAAAAAAATGTCATGTGGAGGTTGATGTGTTGCACTTCGAATTGGCCTTCCGTTGGTCCTTCAACCGATTTGCTATTCAGAGACCTGCAAAATGCGTAAAATCTCTGACAATCAAATCAGCAAAGGGTTATGAAAAGTTGTATGTAAAGTGTAAGTAATGGTACTATAACAGAATATCTATAGTGTGACTAACTTTTTACCTTTCATACCACTCGCTTATTTACAGTGAATCATTGGCTTATTGAAGAAGCACTACCCTGCCCGACTGCTCGAGGGTCCGCTCGACAGTTATCTTGCTACTGTAAAGTTTAGATCCTTCCTCCACGTGCACCCCGTTAGTAAGTCTATCTATCGCTCTTCCACATGTCAATCAAATATATTACATGTAGATCTTTCACATATATAACTCATAGGTTCACAATATATATCAATCTATCAATAGCTTTAACTATGCTACCCAGTTCATTGGCCTATAAACGAACCGAGTCAATCTCAAGCTCGAGCTCTTAATTAGTCGAGTTGAGCTTAGCTCGTTTCTATTAACTAGTCGAGTTCGAGCCTTAACGAGCCTCGAGTTTTAACAAGTCGAACTGTAAAAACTAAATGATCTCGAGCTCAACTCGTTAAGGCCTCGAACTCGAGCCTTACTCGAGCCTTAAAGGGCCGAGCCCGAGCCAAGCCAGACTCGTTTAATTTAATAACACTGTCAGTTCATAGTGTTACGATATATGTTCGATTGCACGGGAAAACCTATGAACTGAACAATGTATGTTTCAGTTCTTAGATCTTGAACTAAAACAAAGACAAAATTACAAGCAGAAAGCAGAAAGACAATAGCTGAGGCGTTTGCTCTTTTCGCAAGACGGATATAACCTTAAATGTGCTGACGGGTTTAGGCATCTCGTCCCAAATATACAACGACTTACATCTCGAAGGCTGTAGCATAACAACTTTCGAGCTCTGGCGAATTGTAGTGGAGTTGAGAACTGAGCAATATGATATGCGTGAAGCTGTGACGAGTACAAGAATGCAAATGATAATTTTTGTGTGTTATGCAGCTCTATGCGATGTCCTATTTATAGGACTTCCAATTCAGAAGAGGATGACTCTTTAGCTTGTAACATCCAAGCTCTGTCAAGACCAACCAAGGCCGCCCAAGTCTAGCCCACAGTTCAATTGCCAATTGCCAAGCCCAAGGACCAAGGCACGGGCCCGAGCCCTAGCCCAAGCCAAGTCGATCCAAGCCGGCCGAAGCCAACACCAACACTTGGTGCATAGCTTTGTTGTAACTCTCTTTATTATAAATAAAAGAGTTAATCTCATTTAACAGTCTTATGTGGCATAGCTTTATTGTAACTCCCTTTATTATAAAAAAAAAAAAAAGAGTTAATCTCATTTAACAGTCTTATGTGGGATATGACTTTTGACCATTCAATCCCACAACGTTTTGCGTTTTTATTTATGACTAACTGTAATAAGTTATTTCCCACTCACCAAAAATCAATTTTGAAAAGATAAATATATCACGAGTATCTACTCGTAATATAGAATTTATTTACAAAATTTAACTCGACTCGAATTAAATATTTAGCCATAAAAAAGTTAGTCAAAATCAGGTTAAGCCAATTTTATATAACTCATTTTCCAGCACATAGCTCCTCTTGTGTTAAGTCATCATATGTCTCTCATGTACATTACCCGTAGGTCAATCAATCTTACTACTTTGGATACCTCACCAATAAGTCCACCAACCTATACCTACATGTCCTTTTACATGCACATACTATATAGTAGGTCCACCAGTCTTACTACCTTTATTATATTACCAGTAGGTCCACCAACATACTACCTAAAAGTCACTTGCATACACATACTATCAGTATATCCACCGACCTACTTGTCCTGAAGTCTTTTAGATACATTATCATACTCGAGCTACTAAGATGTCATCATCATGTCCGAGCTACCAAGAGGCCATCATCATGCCCGAGCTACTAGCTGTTACTGGAGCTACTTCTGAGATAACTCACCTGAGCTACTCTAGGTCAACTTACCCGAGTTGTATAAGCGACAACTCACCCAAGCTACTCAAAGATCAAATCACCCGAGCTACATGAGCGACAACTCAACCCAGCTAACTATGGTTGGTTCATTCGAACTAATTTTATATGTTATATCAATCTTGATGATTTAAAAAAAAAAAATATGAGAATAAATGAATAATGATTTAAAAACAAAAGTCGTAGTTTAAATATATATGTAATTAAAAAAGGAAAAAAAAAAGGAAGGTAAACATAACTACTCCCTAAATGACACAAGCCGAGGTTCACTCAAGCCGGGGTTGCCTACCCAAGTGTAGATTTCATTTATAACTATGAAATGAAAGAGACTATTTTGCAATGAAAGACTCTAGTAGATGAATCACTTTAACAAAGACTATTTTGCAATGGAAGAGACTATTCTTAACAAACCACAAACCTCTATACATGAAAGATACTATTATACAATCCCGAGCTCAACATAAGCTCAGAATCAGAAAGTAGCAAGAAGAAAAATACATATGTCCGAACTAAAGCCGGTTCATACTATTTCAGTTTTTGAGTACTAAGACATGATCTCAAGAGCTTCCCTAGCTTTTCCGAGTATATTGAAAACGGTTGCTGCTATATGTGACGGTGTCAAGCCCGCCTGCATCAGTTGATCGGCCGGTGCACCGTGGTCTATGTATCGATCGGGAAGAACCAGAGGCCTCCACTGCACAATTTTTTCCGAAAAAAAAAAACAAAAAACAAGAAATGAAAAGATGTACTATTAGTTCCAATTTTCGTATTCCTGAAGGATATGAGCATATTGTGAAATCGACTGCAAGCAAATGGCTAATCAGGGAAGTGGTTGCAAGAAAAAAAAAAAAAGGCCAAACTTTTTGTCGTCACATTGAAATAATGTAGCTTATAATTGTATTTACCTTTAGCTTTCCATCAAGAAGTCCATCCAGGGCCATGAACTGAGCAACATGTGAACCAAACCCACCGATCGAGCCTTCTTCAACCGTGATCAGTACCTCGTGTGATTTAGCTAAGGCCCGAATAAGCGCGTGATCCAATGGCTTGCAAAAACGAGCATCTGCAACCGTCAGCTTCAGACCGTGTGGCTCGACCAAATCAGCCGCAGCTAAACAGCTCTGAACTGCCGTTCCATATCCCAAAAGAGCCACTCTCTCCCCTTCCATCAGTATTCGGCCCTTACCGATCTGAGTAAATACAGAAAGTAGAGTAAAAAAAAAATCTACTTATATGAGGAATGGATGATTGTAGGAAAAAAGTCGAGAAGTTGATGAATCTTGAATTACCTCAAGGGGAATGCCTTTGTTTCCTTTCGGCAGCTCCACTCCTATTCCGTTTCCTCTCGGATAACGGAAACAGCTCGGACGGTCGTCAATGGCAGCAGCCGTTGCAACCATGTGGAACAGTTCAGCCTCGTCCGAAGGAGCCATCACCACCATGTTCGGGAGGCACGCCATAAAAGCAACATCAAAAGCTCCACAATGTGTAGGTCCATCAGCTCCAACCAATCCGGCTCTATCCATTGCGAATCTCACCGGAAGCTTCTGCAAGTCCACGTCATGCACCACCTGGATAATACGAATTAAAGGGGTTTCGTTAAAACAACGAGAAAATAGTAAGTACCATTACTTGTTTCATTAAAACTCATTTTCAGGATAGTCTTGCCTGATCGTAACCCCTTTGTATGAAGGACGAGTAGATTGCACAGAAGGGTTTAATGCCTTCACAGGCTAAGCCTGCAGCAAAAGTCACGGCATGTTGTTCGGCTATGCCGACATCAAAGCACCGAGTCGGAAAACGGCGCTCAAAGAGGTTCAAGCCTGTGCCGCCTCCCATTGCAGCATGGATGGCCACTATATCCTTGTCCTTCTCGGCTTCTGCTATGAGGGCCTCTGCAAAGTAGGTCGTGTAGGACTGAGTTGGCGTGCTCGATTTGAATTGCTTCCCAGTTGCCGGATCGAATTTTGTCACGCCTGCATTAAGTTTTCAAGCTTAATAAGATGCATAATGTTTAGCTGAATTTGAAAAAACAGAAATGATTAACATCGAAAAAATTTTAGTGTTTTAGTGGGAATAATGTACCGTGATACTTGTCTGCAGCTTTCTCGGCATATGGGTATCCTCTGCCTTTCTCGGTCACGACATGGATCAACACCGGGCCTGTAATCTTAGTGTTCTTAACTTCTCTAAGAATCGCTGTCAGGTCATCGAGATTGTGACCATCAACAGGGCCAATATAGTAAAGCCCGAGCTCCTCAAACAGGGTTGACCCGGATCCACTGATGAGCCCACGAGCATATTCGTCCACCTTGGCCGCTAGCTCATGCATAGGCCCTCCAATTTGCTTAGTCACTCCCTAAACAAAAATAAAGTCACCAACACATCAAAAATTTGTATTTTCTTCATTTGTTTAAGGGACACGAGCGGTTCTTTTAAAAAAAAAAAAAAAAAAAGTAGTAGCTTTGGTTATTTATGAATTTATCCGAATTCTAACCTTGGCGACTTCTCTTAGTTCTCTGAGGGGCCGGTTGGACTGTAACCGGCTCAAAGCACTACTCAACGCCCCAACTGGAGGAGTGGGGCCATCCAAATTCGCAGTGGGCAAAGAGACTTGTTTGTTGTCGTTAAGAATAACAATCATGTCAGAATCTAAGTAGCCGGCATTGTTCATTGCCTCGTATGCCTGGCCAGCTGTCATGGCACCATCGCCTATAACGGCCACGACATGATTCTTTCTGCCTTTAAGGTCCCTTCCCACGGCCATCCCTGCTCGACCACGACAAAAACAGCAAATCATAACTTATATACTTTCTGGAACAGATTTAATGCAGCATAAACGAAACGTGACTTAAAACCATATAATTTAATAGTGTTCAAGTAGAAGCTAAAAACTTGGGTATCACTTACAGTGATCAAACTACAAAATCCACAGCCTGGGGTTTTGAGGTACTTAAGAGAAGACCCAGAAAAGTATCAAAATTGTAGTAAAAGCCTCCGAGAAAAAGACCCAGGATTCTTCAAGAATTACTTCAAACTCGAGGGAGAATTGAAAATTATCTTAAATTAAAAGATGGTGGTTGATGCATAAGCTGCAAAACTTGGCACACTAAACACAAAA